CAGAACCATCTGATGAAACCAGAACCACCAGATCCAGAACCATAAGATCCAGAACCATCTGATGAAATCAGAACCACCAGATCCAGAACCATCTGATGAAACCAGAACCACCAGATCCAGAACCGTCTGATCCAGAACCACCAGATCCAGAACCACCAGATCCAGAACCATCTGATGAAACCAGAACCACCAGATCCAGAACCATCTGATGAAACCAGAACCACCAGATCCAGAACCACCAGATCCAGAACCATCTGATGAAACCAGAACCACCAGATCCAGAACCAACAGATCCAGAACCACCAGATCCAGAACCATCTGATAAAACCAGAACCACCAGATCTAGAACCACCAGATCCAGAACCATCTGATGAAACCAGAACCACCAGATCCAGAACCACCAGATCCAGAACCATCTGATGAAACCAGAACCACCAGATCCAGAACCAACAGATCCAGAACCACCAGATCCAGAACCATCTGATAAAACCAGAACCACCAGATCTAGAACCACCAGATCCAGAACCATCTGATGAAACCAGAACTATCTAATGAAACCAGAACCATCAGATCCAGAACCACCAGGTCCAGAACCACCAGATCCAGAGCCACCACCAGTGAATTTGCATATTCTGTGTGTTGCTGTAGGAATCAACTCTGAAAGCTCCTCAGACCAGATGAAGGTTTTCTTTTAAACGACTGGAGTCAGAAACCCATCAGTCCGGGTCTGACCATGACCCAGTCCAGATCCAAGAACTGCAGGTTTTCCAAAGCTTTTTGGTTACTATGTTGTCGGGTTGGACACCCCATGGAAGCTCTTCCCAGCCCGATGAAGAGCCAGTCAGGATCTGAGGAAACCTTAAAGGACCTAAGAAAATCTTTCTGGTTCTCCTTCGTGGTCCATCATTTGGACCGATGAGCTTTAGGCTCATTCAGACAGAACCAGCTGATGTTCTGGAATCATGGCCAATCCGTTTCACCTCTAGGAGATTCACACTTTAAGCACATGGAGATACCATCCTACCGACAGCCAGGAGCTTTGTTCAGAACCTGTTCTGCCATCAGTAGAACCCAGACTCAGCAGGTCTTCTGAGTTTTTACTCCTCTGGCCGCAGCAGGAACATTCCAGTAAACATCTACAGGCATCACGCTCGGCTGACCCAATCACAGCCAAGGATGGTCAACAGGAGCCTTCAACCAGCAGAACCACATTCTCAGAGGTAGAGCTGAGGCAGCTGCAGCTCAGCTGGTTGGTCGGGTTCCTGCTGGTCATGGAGCTCAATCAGCTCTAAATTTAGCAGCACACTTTCTGATTTAGACTCTACTTTAGCATGTCCAGAACCTGGTCCTGGAGGTCCGAGGTCCTGCAGCTTTCAGAGGAACCTCTGCTTCAGCCTCCGCCACGAGCGATCAGCAGAACTAGGGAGGGAATTTAGTCAGAGGTTCAGGAGGGTGAAGGACATCAGCCCTAAAGATGGGAGTTTAGGATCAGTGGGTTAATGATTGCTTCTCTTCTAATGGTTGAACTCAGGACTAAACTCAGCTCCTGTTGGACCCAGTTGGACCAGAACATGATCCTCTCCAGATGATCTGAGATCTCACAGATCCTCCCGGATCAGCAGCAGCTGCTCTGGACCAATTCAACCAATCAGAGTCGACGTTTCAAACCTGTAATCAAGTCTTTAACTAACACTGACTTCTGCATTGGCTTCATTCATAAGATTAAATATAAATAAAAATATAAATATTTAGAAAAGTTTGGATTTTGAAATGTTACCATTTTTTAAGAGTAAAAATGAAAAGAAAAGGAAACATTAACAGTTTGTTTTGACTAACAGTATTTATCGATGAAAAATCAGATCCCAGAACCAGAACTTTAGGATCTGCAAAGGTATTTTATCAAAGTTCTTAAACACGTTTATCCATCAGATCTAACAGAACTTCTCTATAAATATTTTAGTCAGATGAGATGAAGTCATGTGGAGCCAGCAGCTTGGTGTTACCATGGCAACAGGACCAGGGCTCTATTTGGGCCTTTAGTACCAGAGGAATCAATGGAGAGGGGGCGGGGCTTAATTAGCCAAGCTTCAACCAATCAGGGCCAACTGGTCAATCTGGAAGTTTCTAGCTAACTGTCACCATGGCAACACACATCAAACAATGAAGTACATTCTTTGCCCTTTTATAAATTTTAGGTGAAAACAAAAAGAAAAAAACATAATTGATGACATTGTCTGAACAAAAATGAACAACAGTCTGATCCAGGTCCGGCTGGCGTTCCGGTCCAGGTCCGGCTGGGGTTCCGGTCCAGGTCCGGCTGGGGTTCCGGTCCAGGTCCGGCTGGGGTTCCGGTCCAGGTCCGGCTGGGGTTCCGGTCCAGGTCCGGCTGGGGTTCCGGTCCAGGTCCGGCTGTGGTTCCGGTCCAGGTCCGGCTGTGGTTTCGGTCCAGGTCCGGCTGTGGTTTCCGGTCCAGGTCCGGCTTCGGTTCCGGTCCAGGTCCGGCTGTGGTTTCGGTCCAGGTCCGGCTGTGGTTTCCGGTCCAGGTCCGGCTTCGGTTCCGGTCCAGGTCCGGCTGTGGTTTCCGGTCCAGGTCCGGCTGTGGTTTCGGTCCAGGTCCGGCTGTGGTTCCGGTCCAGGTCCGGCTGTGGTTCCGGTCCAGGTCCGGCTGTGGTTCCGGTCCAGGTCCGGCTGTGGTTTCCGGTCCAGGTCCGGCTGTGGTTTCGGTCCAGGTCCGGCTGTGGTTCCGGTCCAGGTCCGGCTGTGGTTCCGGTCCAGGTCCGGCTGTGGTTTCTGGTCCAGGTCCGGCTGTGGTTTTGGTCCAGGTCCGGCTGTGGTTCCGGTCCAGGTCCGGCTGTGGTTCCAATAAACCGTCCTCATCTGAGGAGGCCTCAGTCCATCAGGAGGAACATCCATGGAACCTCCAGGTTCTTCTAAACAACCCGGACTCGGTCCGTTTCCGGGCAGCCAGAGGTTCCATCGGGTCAGAGTTCTGGGGAACAGACGGGTCAACAGCTTCTGTCTGAGCAGCAGGACGCTGGAGAACAAAGCCAGATGGCTGCTGCCTGATGGAGGATGGACTTCCGCGCCTCCTTATCTGCTGTTTACAGCCTCCTCCCTCTTCCTCCTTCAGCAGGAGGAAGAGGAGCTCATATCTCCTCAGAATCTTCTAGGCTGCCAGTCCAACCCCAGGGCATGATGGGAACAATTAGAGGGACCTGATCTGAAGAGTCGATGGAGAGACCAACGAAGGCTGCTGAGGAACCTCACAGGAAGCAGATGTTCTGAGGAGAACCGGACCTGCTGGTTGTGCAACAAAGAACCAGAGGAGGACCAGGAGCCTCCAGCCTTTAGCTGGACCTGCCAGAACATCAGAGATGTTCCTCTGACCCAGTTTCCTAAGCTGATAGGAGAGCTGCAGGTTCTGACAGGTTTATTATGTTTCATCATCTCCACCTGCAGCTGCAGAGAACCTCCTCCCCCCAGAACCTGAACTAGAACTGAATCTATAAACGATTTTACTGATCAGTTCCTCCATCCATCCGCTTTGGATCATTTGATCATCAGTCAAACAGCCGACGGTGCTTTAGAGGAGATTCTGTTCCACAGAATCAGAACCAAGTGAAGCTAGAACAGGATTTACAGTCAAAGTCGGCCATCTTTAATGGAAAGAGTTCTTATTTAATGTTTATTTCTGCTTTGTTTATTTCTAATGTTTATTTCTGCTCTGAGGTTGTCGTTTTTGCAGCAAATCTTCTGTTTCAGTGTCTGTAGACGGATCAAGAGTAACTTTATGTCAAACTTGAACAGCAGGTCCAGTTCAGACCAGTTCTGAGATTAGAAACCAAGCAAAGAACCTGATGGGAGTTTCCAGTTCCGCCTCCTAAACTGGGAGATACTGGGGGACACCTGATCTGCAGAAGCTGAAGCCAGAACAACATCTCTGCTCCAGTGGCCCCGCAAGGAACCTCCTCCAGCGGCCCCCATAGAGCCTCCTCCAGCGGCCTGCAAGGAACCTCCTCCTGTGGCCCCCCATAGAATCTCCTCCAGCGGCCCCCCATAGAACCTCCTCCAGCGGCCCCCCATAGAACCTCCTCCAGCGGCCCCCCATAGAACCTCCTCCAGCTGCCCCGCATAGAACCTCCTCCTGCAGCCCCCAAAGAACCTCCTCCTGCAGCCCCCCAGAAAACCTCCTCCTGCAGCCCCCCAGAAAACCTCCTCCTGTAGCCCCCATAGAACCTTCTCCTGTGGCCCCGCATAGAACCTCCTCCGCAGCCCCCCCATAGAACCTCCTCCAGCTGCCCCGCATAGAACCTCCTCCTGCAGCCCCCATAGAACCTCCTCCTGCAGCCCCCCAGAAAACCTCCTCCTGTGGCCCCCATAGAACCTCCTCCTGTGGCCCCGCAAGGAACCTCCTCCTGTGGCCCCCCATAGAACCTCCTCCAGCAGCCCCCCATAGAACCTCCTCCAGTGGACCCCCATACAACCTCCTCCTGCACAGGTCAGGGTCATGACCCCTGACCTGCGGGTTCAGGGTCATGACCCCTGACCTGCGGGTTCAGGGTCATGACCCCTGACCTGTGGGTTTGACCTGCTAATGAGCCATTGATGGAGATCAGCTGCTGAAACAGGAAAACATCTAGAGATTTAAATGAGAAATGGACCAGAACCAGACCCAAAGGTCTGCTGAAATGTTTAAACCCGGGTCACTGTAGAACCTTTCCCTTCCTGTTCCCTGCTCACCCATGGAGGTCCGGGTCTAATCGGACCTCTGATCTCAGAATCCTAATTTAATCTGGGACACCTTTGGTGATTAATGTGTGACGTCACTCAGAGCGCAGCATGAGAAAGTTGAATCTCACAAACTTTCTCCTTTTTTTTAGCTCCTTCATTAAATCTCCACCTGAGTTTCTGTCGCTAAGATTCCTCCCGGTCCGGTTCTAGTCCAGTTCTAGTCCGGTTCTGTCCCGGTTCTGGTCCGGTTCGGAGTGTGTGTGACTCACCTTGTGCGGCGCTCCGAGCAGCTTGTGGATCCCGGGAATCTGTTCGCTCAGCGGCTGGTCCTCCTCCACCTCCACGGTCGGAGGTCTCCGGGGTTCGGGGAAGTTGGTGCAGATGAAGGGGTCCCAGTCCTCCAGGTACTGGACCCGGCAGGTGACGGAAGCCATGGCCGAGAGACCGCGACCTGAGGGCGGCTGAGCTGCTGGGGAAGAGTGGCTGCTCCTCCGCAGCTGCTGGAGGTTTAAATGAAGCTGAACGGAGCGCTGCGCTGCGGCTCAGAGCGGAAACAACACACACACTACATCCGGCTCTGCCTTTCAAAATAAAACTCAGCCAGGTAGAAATTCATGTCATTGATATAAATTAACTAATTTAATACAAATTAACCCTTTATAGGGCACTCAGTAAATCAATATTCAATAGTCTTATTGGAATCCAGGGCAAGACCTTATTTCCTTATTTCCAGTAAGAAGAAACACCAAATATATGAAGAAAAATAACAAAAGTGCTTCTATTAGAAATTCATGAAAAAAACTCTTAGAGTGAAAGAAACATATTTTTATTGGTCCAACATAACCTTAGAGGCATAATAGTGATACTGATACTGTCCTTTTTTAGTTTATAAACCTATATATAATTGTTAACTAGGATTTTTAACTTTTTAAGTTTTCAATTCGATTTCTTAAATTTTTTTCTTGACTTATTAATTTTTAACAAGTCATCTAATTGGTCAAATGCCAAAATAAGATGTGCAGCCATGTAGCAGTGTGTTTGCTGAATGGCTGGATATAGATCTTGTTCTTCTAGACCTCACTGAGTGGGGGGGGGGTCCATTTATAATATAAGGGGTATGGAAGGGATCAAAAACGCTAAGTTTGCCTATAAAGGATTAAATGTTAAATCTCTCTGTTAAATCCAGACCTTCTGCAGGAGACAGTAATATCAAGGTTGTTTCCTGTTTTATGATGTAAATCTGCCTTTTCTGATAGACGAAGGCCCGATAAAGCTGCTATTATGTGTGAGTCTAAGTTACCAAACACTGTTTTCTAACATCCGGTTTATTTATAGTTATTATTACTCATATAAAAGGAGCAAAGTTCGCTCCGCTGGACATGAAAAACCAGGCTTGCTGAAAACCACAGACTGAAATGGATTTCTGTTTAAAATATGTCACAACTAGATATTTATCAGCTATTTTCTATCTTCAACATGGGTTTTATGTTGTCTAGAGTATTCAGCTGTTAATTATTTAAGAATTTTACATATTCTCTCCATATAATGTAGTGACTAAAGTACTATTTCTATAACTTAGTATCTGTATTTTATGTATGGATGTGAATGTGGGGTCACTAAAAACATAATTCCTCCAGTTGAAAGTAAATAATATAAAACTAATATGATCAATAAGAAAATATGTAACATCACCTTTTCCTCCCTTTGGAAAGAAAACAAACAATTGGGAACAGAATATTTCAGCCAGACTCCCAAAGGTTAAAGGTCATATACTACAGGTTGTTACAGGTTAAAGGACCAGCTGATTGGATACAAGTTATAAGTCACAGACTAACTCACAGGTTATAGATTATAGGTTAGATCCCATGTATACCTGTATGTTACAGATCACATCAAACAGATCGTTTACAGGTCAAAGGTTAGAGTTCAGGGGCTGCATATAATTAATACAGGCTTGTTATGATAGAAAATGATAAAATAATAACCAATGTGGGTTCTCCAATCCTCACATGATACTAGAGTTCCTGTGTAACACCTTTATTTACCAAAGGTCCAACAGGGAGGGGAACTGTAAAGTCCTCAATTAGATCTGGACGATAAGAAATTAGATTCAGATTTTATTTTTTTTGACGGTTTGCCCTAGAGATCTGATGTTTTCAGGCTCTGTGGGAATTTCCTGGTGGGGGAATCTGCTTTGCAGGATGGACTTACGAAACTGACAAATATTAGTGGTTAGAAGTCAAAATTATCTTCAGAAAAGCTGAGAGAAAGTTTGGTTGCTTTGATTTAAATCTTTTTTTATGGCTGCAAAAGCACCAGAATTAGCAAACTGAATGTTTGGCCTGTTGTTCCTGAACAAACCAACAAAAACCAGTCTGAATTTAAAAAAAAAAATGGAAAAATAGACAATGAGCAATAGAAAGGTACATTTCAGTCTAATCAAGAAATCTCTACATATAATGACTAAGCAAACTAGTCACTGAAGCAAAATGTGATCATTGCCCAAGATGGTCAATCGCAGTCCTCCGCCCGATGACATCACTGCCCATGTATGGTAAGGGTGAGGGCTTTGAGACCATTATAAAAAAATAAAAGCATAATAAAGTTTTATTTTTGATCAAATTAAAAAAGAAATAAAAGGTGGTAAGAAAAAAGCTTTTAGGAGAAGCAGCATGTCCTATTATTAGAATTGGTGCCTGTTCTATGTTTTCATCTCATATCATCATCAAATATAGTTTAATCTTCTGCTAAAGTCATGTTCTCTTCATCTATGATTCAAACACATAAATGTATGTTAATGTTTAACTGTTCCTGTATCGTTACGTTTAATAATCTGACATGCTTTCATGTTTAATATGCATTAAACAGAAGCTGAGGGTCTTAATCTCCCTTTAAAGTTGAAAGTTGCTTATTTTCTCTCCTCTGACGTCACAGCTCACATGTTTTCCAGTCAGCAAAAATATCAGAGTGAAAAAAAAAACTTCGGATTTTATAGTGAAGAAACTATCCTGGAACTTCCGGTTTGATGGTGAGCGTTGGTTTGGTCCCCGTGGATCCAGAGTGACGTCATGAATGTAGAGGGAAATATGAGTCTGTTCTGGATTCAACTTTAATCCTTCTGAGGTTTGGTTACCAGCGCCTCCTGGTGGCCGAGTCACTGCAGCACAAAGGACATTTAAGGACAAATATGCCAAAGATGAAGGAAACATACAGTAGATGACATTCATATTAGTGTTTAAAATAAAGTTTATATTTAAAGACACATTTAAGAAAAGAACCAAAAAGAACGAAAAAGAGCACATAGTTGGTCACAGTAGAGCCTATAATTATATCTAGGAGAGAAAAGGGATTAAGGACTAAATAAACAGGCTCTTTCATAATTTAAGGGTAGATGTTGACAGCAGCATAGCAGCAACCGTTGCCTCCCTCCAGGATGATGTCACAGCGAAACAGAACCAGACAAAGCTAGAATTATGAGAATAAACAGAGTGAACATTAAGTTTAAGGTTAGATTAACGAATGAAGAACTGGAAACAGAAGTTGAAAGAAGCAGAATGATGAAGAATGGTCCCTATGTCCTCCAGCAGTCTAAGGGTATAGAAGCATAACTACAGATAGCTCAGGATAACCTGAGCCAGTTTATCAAGAACAAATGTTTTAAGCCTCGCCTTAAAAGTGGACATTTAATGTGATTTTTACTTTTATTTTGGTTTCCGGCTTTTCTCTCTTTATAGTATTTTGTTTTCCTTCAAAATATTCATAATATTGATCCCAGCTTGGTATCATTATTAGGTCAATTCTAGCGTCCCATTAAATTTCTGTAAATTGCTGTATTTTCTTCACAGAGTTTAGCCAAGCGCAGTTCCGTCTCTGCAGCTGCAAACTTCTTTCCTTTCCTGTCCCCCCACCCCGCTCCTCTGTTGACAGCACCGATGGCTGAAGGGAAGTCATTCATCTTAGCTGGGGGGGGGGACTAGACACACTGTTCTCTGGATTTTCAACGCCGTCCCAAGTAGCCTCGTCCTACATGTCACATGCAGCGGCTTGTAAAAATGTTCACTGAACGAGCAAAAAAACAGGGAGAAAATAACAAAGAGAGCTTTATTATGGCAGAAAGGGAGATGACTGTGATGACCAATGGGGCCGAACAAGACGTCAAACACGGTAATAGTTAATCTGAATATTTTACAATAAGAATCAATGCACAGATTAATCCAGGGCTGTTCCTAAAAGGAATTGGGACTTTGGGGCCCCTCTATTCCTGCCAATATTATTATCTATTACCGGAATCGAACCCGGAACCTTCTGCCTTGCAGCAAGAAGGTTCCGGGCTTGCTTCCTGGACTGGGGTCTTTCTACATGTTGTCCCTGAGCATGCATGGGTTCTCTCCGGGTACTCCGGCTTCCTCCCACAGACCAAAAACATGACGGTTAGGTTAAATTGCTTCTCTAAATCTTAGGTGTGAGTAAATGGATGTTTGTCCTGTTTGTCTCTGTGTTTCCCTGCGATGGACTGGAGACCTGTCCAGGGTGGACCCCTCCTCTCACCCATAGACAGCTGGAGATGGACACCCCAGCATGACGGAATATGGATGGATGGGATCAACGATATGATCAGATCATTCACACGTCTGCTATCAACTCATCACAGCTCCGTCAATGTTGTTTTTATATTCCTCTATTTCCATGCATCATTCAGCGTTACAGCACGTAATAAAGAAAAACGAGCTTATTTACAGTAAAAGTATCATGTTTATACTTTTTTGGACCCAATTGCAACAGAAATTTGCAACAAAAAAAAAAACAAAAAAAAAAAACGGTATTGCAAAAACAAAACCAAATAAATACATTTTTATTTATTAATTTATTTATTTGACATGCACAGTGTACATTAAAAAGCATTCCTGCAAATGCAGCAGAATTAGCCAAAAGGCTATTTTTCATCTGCTGTCCCTGGACAGATCTTAAAATTGTCTTCCTAAAAAAAACAAAAAAACACAACAGTAAGCATTCTACAATGAAAAATATAAAAAGAAATAAAAACAGCTATAACTCCTCAAAACTGATTTAAAAATACAGAATTGCCTTTATTGATAAAAACAATACATTTTTTTTTACCGTATTTATATAAAAATCCCTATACATGTAGTAAAACAAACAATAAATCATTCCTGATGGAGGTGGGGTGCAGGATGGTGGACATGAAATGTATAATTTCAGACACTTTTGCATCCTCAGCATGAAGCATGGAGGTGGAAGCATCATGCATGGGGCCAACTATCAGGAGATCTTAGCCAGCAGCCTCCCTCCCCCAGTAAGGCCATTGGAGATGGGCTGGGGGCTTTTGCAGCACAGCCAGGCGGGGTCCGTCATCCCTGCCGCTGCTGTGTGCAAACCTCTTCCAGATCTACAGGAAACATCTAACATCTAATATCTATGAAGCCATTAAAGCTTTCTGTACAAAAATATTAAGGTTAGCTTTTCTGACGTATCAAATGTTGATGTCTGGCAATAAAAAGATGA